CGACCCCCCACCCGCCCCAACCCGCACATTCCCCCCCTCACCGCAGGGGCCTCCACTCTACTCCCTCCCTCTCCGCAATGTGGGGCCCCCTGACAACCCGCTCGAGCTCCCGGCAGCCGGTGCGGTCGCCCCGGTCGGCGTGCCGCCCGGCGCCCTGGGGGCCGCCGCCTTCCTGCAGGCGGCGCCCCATGCGCTTGCCGCCGCCGCTGCGGCGGCGGCCGCCGGCGCCGCCGCAGGCTCGGCGGCGCTCCCGGAGCGGCTGCCCTCAGAAGAGGTCTGCTACTCAAATGCGGTCAAGATCTCCCACGGGAGCAAGGTCGCGCCAGGTGAGCCGACCCACCATCCCCCCGGCAGGGACGGGGGGGGGGGGGAGGGGGTGCTTACGCGACCGCAGCCTACCCTGGAGGGGCCGCGCCGGTTCTCAGGCCGTGGGCAGGCGCGTGGTCGCTGTGCATGAATGTTGGAATTAGGCTGCCGGCTGCAAGGCCTCCGTTTGTCAGCCTCCCATCGACGTGTGAGTTGTGCCTCGCGCCAGCCCCTCTGCGCCGGTGTTCTAGACGGTTGCAGGCCGTGACTTACTCATCGACACCAAAACAACCCCACACCTCCGCCGCCCCCATGACGTGATGTCAATGACCCCTCCCCGCCCGCCCCAGTCGCCGGCAAAATAGCCCACTCCATGCGTGCCCGCGAGTGGCCGACGCTGCTGGTGGCCGGCAACGGCAGCATCCACACCGCCGTCAAGTGCTGCCTCACGGCCGCGCGCTTTGTGCAGCCCGACGGCCTCATAGTCAGCTTCGAGCCGCTGTTCCGGGCGGAGAACCACGGCCGCGCCCTCCTTGCCCTCTCTGTCCTGCCCTGCGATCCACAGCCGCTGCCAGCCGCGGGCGCGTTCGCGCCCGGCTCGGCGGTGGCAGCCGCGGCCGCGGGCGCGTTCGCGCCTGGCTCGGCCGCGGCCGCCGCGGCGGCCGCGCAGATTAAGGTCGGCGCGCACTCGCGCCACGCCAACGTGGGCGCCGCGCTGAGCTCGCGCCTAGTGGAGGGCGGCTCGCCGTACGTCGTCCTTTCCGCTCTGGGGGAGACGGCGGTCGCCAACGCGGTGATGGCGGCCGCGCACGCCCAGCACTACCTGTCCACTCAGAGCGGCCGGCGGCTGGCCGTGGAGGCGCGCGCGGCGGTGGTGGTGAAGGGCGGCGACCAGCTCGTGGGCGTCCAGCTGTGGGTCAGGCTGCAGCCGCCTGGCAGCACCGGCGGCGCTGCCGACGCGGGCGCGCCAAACGCCGCGGCCGCGGCGGGCCCTTCGGGCGGGGCGATGGTGCCCGCCGCATAAGACAGCCCGTCGCATTCGCCACTCTGCCTTGATGGCCAGTTTGGCGCTGTGCCGGCGGCGTCTGTTTGCTGGAAGGATACCGCACTTACTTGACGCACACACTCTGTGTGCCGCACGTTTGAGACTCTACACCCTGCCTCCCGCCGCTCGAGCCGCTAGTGCCTAGGCGGTTCAGAGCAGTGCTTCAAGCCGCCAGCATTCCAAACGCCGCCTCGCAAGACTCACAAGCCCAATCGGGGCACGCACCATGCCGCTGCCGCCTGCCCATCCCCGGGGCCCGTAACATCGGTTGTGTGTGGCGTACTGTCGCACCGTTGCATGGCGGCTTGGGAGGTGCGCACCGGGGCAGGTGGGCAGGTGCTGCGGCGGTGCGCGTAGTGGCACGTTGGGTGTCTGAGAAATGCCCCAACTGCCAGCATGCAAGCAGGATTGACAAGCGCTTTGACAGTCGGTGTTGTGCATGCGATGACTGCTTGCGTGCCTGGGTCGCCCCGCTGCCATGATGAGCATGGGGCGGGTCTGCTTGGACGTGTCCCTCCGCGCCCCACACTCTGCGTGGGCCGTGTGACACGATTTGGGGCCGAGCCCACTCCAAAGGCTTCGGCATGTGCCAGCTTTTGGAGAGGCACTGGAATGGCCCAAGCACCCACACCCAATCCCAACCCTTTCGCACGCACCGTCTGCAAACGCATCGTGGGCCTTTTTGCACGACACCTGGTGACTTGATGCGTGCATTCCGGGGCTTCCATTCGTGCTGGCGCCAGTTTTGTGATGGCTGCTTCCTGCACACCCTGTTGTGTGGGGAAGCTTCACGCCCTACTTCTCAGCTTCTCTGTATACCCTGCGTGTTCCGGCAAGTTCCGGCAAGTTCCGGCAATCTGTTTCGCTCATGCAAGCCCTGCCCATCCCTCAAAAGAGCCTCCAAGCGCGCACGCCCACTCCCTGCCTCGTCCAATCCATGCGCCGCTTTGCTGATGTTCCTTGAGTGCGGCCTGCACTGCCAAGCCAGCGATCTTCACGCAGACCCTGCCAGTCAGCACACGTGCTTAAGATTGGCCGCCGTTGACAGCGTCTAGCGCTGCCAAACGCTGCGGCACATACGACGGTTGTTTGCGGCAATCACGTTTTTTTGCCCCGGATAAACGGGGCCTTAGGCGCCTGCCCCAATTGTGGGATTGCAATGCACTGGCAGTTCCAATCTGTCGCCTGTGTAGTATTACTGTCGCTGGCTTTTGATGCCTGATTCACCCATTCCCGCTGTTGTCGCATCTCCGCTTGAAAGGGTAACACACCCACACGCACACAAAGTCAAACTTGGAAGGCCCGCCGCAGCTCCGCCAGAGCTAATGCCTCGTTTGCCACCCACCCGCCGCCGCGTCTGCAGCAGTGCACCTGGTGGGAAGCGGAGCTGTCGCACTCCACCTCCGCCTTGCTGCACCCACGATCCACACCCGCTTGGCCGTTGCCGCGAACGCTGCCGCTCTCTCCGCAGCTGCAGCTTGCACACTGCTGCGCCTGCAGGGCATCCAGCAGCCTAGCTGCCGCCGCCCGCGCCGGCCTGTTGATCAGGCGCGCCGCCAAACTGAAGCGACCGCAGCCTGCAAGTCCAGGGGGACACGGGGAGCACGACAGGTTCAAGCGAGCACCCTGGACTGATATGTGAACAGCATCAATGATCGACAAACGCTCACCTGCCACAGCCTGCAGAGCACGCAAAGCAAAGCGGGCCTCGGCGTCGACAGCGCCAGGCTTGGCACCTACAGTGGCGCGGGTGGAGAAACACGCAGCCACAGGCTCGCCAATCTCGCAGAGTCACAACCAATGTTAGCGAGCTGCTGCCATGGCTGTGATGAAACAGGGGCCCGACATGCGCTCCGACGCCCTCTGCCTGCAAGACGACTCACCTGCTGCCGCTGCGTCCCAGCCGTGTGCCAACGCCTCCAGCAGCTGGCCCAGCAGGTCGCTGTTTATTTCCACCCGGAACAATTCGGGGAGCTTCTCAGGTGTGACAACCTCCAGGTAAGCACGCCGCTCAGACGCGCCCCTGCAGGTGCTCCCACGCCACGTGCGCTCAAACTCGGGTGTGCTGGTCGGCGGGTGCCACTGCCGCTGCTGCTGCTTCTGCTGCTGCTGCTGCTGCTGCTGCTGCTGCTGCTGCTGCTGCTGGGTGGGTGCGCAATCTGACCGACCCCTGGTAGCGGCTGTGATCACTGGAGGCACCGCAGGCAGCTGCATGCCCTCTGGGTCCAACTGCCATGCGGGCATCATGGGGCCTGAGAGGCGATTGCAATCCGTTGGGCGTGGGCCCCAATCACACATGCACGAGTGTGTGTGCATGCGCATGGTCAAGCTGGGGTTGATAACTTTTAAGCAAGGTCATGACTGTCAACAGCCACGACTGTGCAAGTCAATGCCAAGAGGGCACCCCAGATGTAGTCAAACTAACCGGATCGTGGCGCGCTGGCCGCCTGTATGGGCTTGAGATGGGCGGTCAGGACCTGCATCCAACGGAACCCAACACCTTTGTTGTGTGTGCGCCCATCGCGAAGCAAGAACGCGCACAGCGCTGATGCAGACCGACGTGCATTGTCACCGATGCTGTGGCTCACCATATTTTTGAATGTGTCATAGTCCACGTGCTGAGACACTGCTCGCTTCTTGGCAGCGTCTACGGCCTGCAAACGCCGGAGTGGCGGGATGCGTATGATCACGACCCCCCCGCGCGTTCGAGCCGACATGGACATATGTATGTACCTTGCGCTTCTGATCGTCGTCGATTGCGTTTTGCAGGTCCCTGCTGGTCTTCGGCACCCCCATCATGTCAAAAATTGCTAGATCAAGTGTTGACCTTGGGCGTACTGGAGGAACAGGATTGAATTTTGTACAGTATTATTCACAGATGTCACAATGAGGCGCTCATCTCGGACCTCCCCCTACGCCGGGTGTGCACTGCTTCCGGAATATGAGCATCCACGTATGAACGTAGTGCTGCACCTGCTGGAAACCGGTTAGTCCGATGACGCCTTTTTCTGACGCGGCATTTCGCCATGTTGCCATGAATTCAAAGATGTGTTACCCAGCCTCAGTGTCGCTGCTGCTGTCCGTGCTGCTTGTTAACGCCACTGCAGCCAGCCGCTGCCGGCGTCGCTCGAAGCGCGGCGCGACCCAGGGCGCTAGCGTTGTCACCAATGGCTGCCGAGGGTTTGATTGGTAGTAGTTGGACCACATGGCTTCCAGGGGTGGCGCCCACTGAGCGTGCCACTCGTCGCTGCCACCCCCATCACCGCCGCTGCTGCCCGCAAAGTGCGCCACATAAATGAGCAGTGGCAGGTCCGATTCCAAGCCCTCGCCGCTGCCAGGGACGCCGCTGTCGCCGCCCGCATCCTGCTGCCCATCCCTCGCCTCTGCAACCCCTGCAGCCACCGCTACCCCCGGGCCGCCCAGCCCCTGCTCCTCCTGTTGGCGCTGCCACGCCGCGACACTCAAGCCCAAGCGGATGCTCTTGCCGCGGCGCACCCGCTCTGATGGATAGCACAGCGGCGCCTGCACGTAGCGCGTGCCGCCTAGCGTGCAGTCCCACGCAAAGTGGCTGTGGGCGAAGACGTGCAGCGCCGGCTGCAGCCGCCGCAGCCGCTCCGCAAGGAAGTCGGACCCAACCGCCTTGGCCTGCCGCACAGCAGAACGTGTGGCGCATGGGGTGGGCTAGGAGATGGCGGCGTGCATTCACGCAAAGCTCTTGCGCTTGTACCCCGGTGGCAAAAGCATGCGCGCCCTCACTGCTTCCTTGCTGTGGTGTTGAGGAAGCAGGGGATGTGCATAGCCGATCAGGATCGCTTCAACTGCGTGGCGCGTTCGTCCCGCTCACCAGGGGCGGGAACGCGAGGAAGCGCTTCTCAGGGAGCAATGCCTGGAGCGGTAAAAAGTGCGAGAAGCTGATGATGTCGTAACTGTCGCTGCTGCTGCTACGACTGCTGCTGCTGCCGTTGCCGCTTCTGCTGCTGCTGCTGCCGCCGTTTTCATCATTGCTTTCGATGCCGCCGCCGCCGCTGCAGGCGCATTTCCACAGCTCGCCCCATGCAGCCGCGCGCTCGGTCCCCGGCGCCTCGTTGAGGGCGTCAAACCAGGCCGCCAGCTCCCTTGCGCCGTGGGAGGAGGCCCCAACTGTCTCTGAGGGCCAGGTGCACGCTGAGTAATCCTGCGCGAGCCATGGGGTTTGCAGCGGTCAGGAGCACGCAGCGCACTCGTGGGGGCGCTTGCGGCTGTGTCAGCATGGTGGGCGCGCTGCGGTCGCATGGCGACGCAGCACCTCAGGGGAGGGCAGGGTGCGGGGCTCACCGAGATGGTCAGGGGCGTCGCCCCCGGTACGCCCGGAATGTCGGGCTCCTTGTCCCAATCCTGCACGCGTCGAGGGGCGTTGCTGATCCGGCAGCTCATGCAAAGACGCCGCCGCGACGCATCATCGACGCATGCAGGCCCGGGCGCATGCGCCGTTGCCTCGAGTCTTCCGCCCCTCCCTGCAGGCCATTGCGCTGCCGCCGCGTGGCGGTGCCGGCCCCCTGCCTGCTCCAACGAGTCCCACCTTGTGGTGCCAGCTCAGCACCGGGGCTATCCACAGGCGCCCCAGGCGCAGCGGCTGCGTGTCCACCCGCAGCTCGCGGCAGAGCGCATGCACCGCCTCCAGCTTGGCGACAGAGTCAGCCGCGCCGCCACGCTGCTGCTCATCGCCCTTGACCTGCGGCAGCACGGTGGGCCCGGCGCTGCCGCAGGTGGAGCCGGGCGACGCGTGTGCAGCCGCGACGTTCCGCAGGGTGTGGTCATTCGTGTGCCTCTGCAAGTCGGCAATGCATGCGCGCCGACAGGGCTGACCAGGGGCATGCGCGGGTGTGCGGCCGACTTGGTACTTGCCGCCTTGCGCCGGCAGGAGGTGAGTGCCTGCCTCCCGGTCACGCACCCAGCACTCATGGTTGCCTGCTACGAATAGCACGCGGTCGTAGGAGGCCCGCAGCAGCTGCAGGGAGCGCCTGATCAGCCCCAGGTCGTGGCTGATGTCACCCGCCACCAGCAGCACGTTGGTGTGGGCGGCGGGGCCCCGCCACGGCGGGGGGGCGAGGCCCTCCAGCCAGCGCAGGTTGGCCGGATGGTCCGTGTGCAGGTCGGAGATCGCATACACAGCAATGGAGCCGTCTGCTGCGCGTTCCTCAGCTGCGTTAGTAGCGCTGGTTGCGCAGCGGCGCGTTGGCGTTCGTCGCTGGTCCGCGGCAGATGGCGCTTGTTGCGGCGGGCGCCGTTGCGGCGAGCGCCGCATACACAGAGATTTTATGCCATTCATTCGACAAATATGGCTGTTCTAAGTACACATTCTTTGAGGAAACAAGGAAAACGGCAGGTCGGCAAGATCAATTCACGGGCACCTGTTGAAAGAATAAGGTTCAACTGTACAAGCAAGGGCAACAACAACGACTGCGCCTGTGAGTGCCTGCTGCATGCTGCTCAAACGCTCAACATCGTCAATGTCACCAGGGGCGCTTTTCTTTACCAAGTCTGCACTCTGCAGCAGCAGGTCTGCAGGGTGCGCAGACATCATCATCGGCTGGCAACATGCATGGCAATTTACGTCTGCGACCACCTGAATAAAGGACCTGAGCCTGGTCAGCACTGGTCAATGGCTGGCCCGTCACCTGTGCGCTGTCACTCACCCCCAACTGCTATTGCGGTCGCAGGCGAGCCGTGCCCCAACTGTCAGCAAACTACACATTTTACATGCATGCAGAGGCTTTGCAGCATCGCGATGAGCCATGGGCCTGCCTCAAGAGGTATGTTTGATAGCAGTGATGTGAGGGGAACCATTGAGCGCAGGCGGTCCATCACCACCGCCGGTCCTCAGTCGCGCAGCTGCAGGTGCTGCTGCTGACGCCACCCACACGGTCCCTTGGAATCAGACGCAGCTCCGATCCGTGCTTCAGAAACACGTTGCCTGCAGCCCAGGGGGATCAGGCGGACAACCAGATGGGCCGGGTGGGTGGCGATGCAGGGGCGCGACCATAAATTGTGGGATGCCCGAAGTGCCAGACGCACAACGCACAAGTTGATTGGCTGTTTCAGCAGGTACCTGCTTGCAACAGCAGTTGATAACTAAGCTCACACAAAGAGAATAGTGAGGGCATGAAGCCTGCAGCAGAGCAGCAAGGGCGGTGCGCTGCGCACCCGCGGTCTGCGAGGGGTTGATGCCGACTCCGTCTGCACGCGGGCAGTAGCAGGCATGAAGCGGGTGGCATTGTGGGGAAGGGTCAGGTGAGTGGCAGCCGCGGGTCCAGCACCCGTCCTGCCGCGGCGCAGCGCACATGAGCAGTGCACGGACCCGCCTGACCGTGTGCAGCCAGGTCCAGACCACGCTGCCGAAACATCCACTGACTGGACAGCCCTGCACACCATTTGTGATGATCGCACTCGTCTGCGCGGGCACCTTGAACTGCGGACGGAGGGAGGGGCGCGTGCGCGGCTTCTGTGTGCCCCACCCAAACGACCCAACCAAGCAAAGCCCTCCGGGCTGAGAACACCGCGCTTCACCCCAGCAGCTTCCCGGCCCTCCTCCAAGGATACGCCAGGTGCGGCCGCCACATCTGCGCCCTCAGAGCTCTCTGCTGGCTCCAGGTTTGCCCTTAGTCAGACAGCGAGCGCGCGCCGGCTTATAACCCCCCCACCTCCTCCGCTGCGTACTTGAGCACTGCAGTGAACGGTGCCTCCTCGGGCACGCTGAACCTGAGCGGTGAAACAGGCAGGCGGCAGCTTTACCGGCATTGCGCTGCACGGTCCCGGACAACTGCCACAACGCCACGCTGTCATGTCGTGGCTGTCAGACCTCGCCTTCATCCCCATGTGTGGCTCACACTCTGTACGGGAGCTTGGGGTCCGACGTGAGGGTGATTTTGAAGGTGACCTTAGCTGTGGCAGGAGCGGCGGCCCTGCGAGAGCACCGCGGTGGGATGCGTCGCCGCCCCGGGTTGCGCTTCGTTTGTACTGAGGGCCCTGGGCTGGCGCTGCAACGGCTTGGCCGGCTCAGCGAGCTCTTCGGGCAACCCAAAACTTCTATCGAATACGCACATTGTGCCTTGTGTGCCTCGAAGGTGCGCCTGGAGTGATCGGTGCCAGAGAGGTGCTGTAGCCAGTGTCCTTAGGTGCGAGAGGGTATACAACTATATGAAGAACGCGTGTGCTCACACTTCCTGCAAACCAAACAACCATGCATAAACACGCTTTTATCACGCAAGCGGTCATGTGTAGAAGCTGCAGTGCTGATGAGAGCGGGGAGACTTGGTTCAAGGCTCCTACATTGCAAACCATCTAAGTGATGGTCGTGTCGTTAACTTGTTCTGCCATGAATGTGGATTCCAGGCACACCCGCTCAGATACTCGAGCTTTCAGATCAGGTTGATCGGCCAAAAATTTTGTAGATGGCGTAGAGCAGGCCTTCGCGATGTCGAAGAATAGGAAGCTGAGGACGACCAAATTGTCTTTTGACGACGACGATGGCGACGCGACCACCGGGGCGGGAGGAGCGGCGGACAACGCCCCGCCCCCACCGCCCCCGCCGCCCTTGCCTGGCGGCAAGGCAGCGTCGAAAAAGGCGGCGGGCAAGGCGCTCCTGAGTTTTGGTGATGATGAGGACGCAGGGATACTGCCCAGCAGTAAGCCCAAGAAGGAATCCGGCGGCGGCAGCAGGGACAAGAGCGCGAAAGCCAAGTTCAGGGCCAAGCTGCCGACCCCTGCGTATGATTCAGCGCCGGAGCCGCCGGTCAAGGCCAGCGGCGGTGAGGCGCGGCGCACGCGCCCTGCATGCTGCATTCATGCCTTGGTGCGGCTGGCAGCCCGCGGCCCATGCAGCACGCCGATTGGGTCAGGTTGCCGCTGCTGCTGGTCGTGCTGCTGCCCCTGCTGCTGCTGCCCCTGCTGCTGCTGCCCCTGCTGTTGCTACCGCCGCCCTCGCGCGCCGCCGACCCTCCCGCCACCGCCGCTGCGGGCCCCCAGGCGAGTACACCGCCGAGAAGCTGCGGGAGCTGCAGAGGAGCACCCAGCGGCTGCCCGCCACGACGCTCGCCGCCAGCCTCGAGCAGGCAGCGGCGCTGGCGGCGCTCGCGGCGGCCGAGGCGCCCGCGGCGGGCGCGAACGCGGGTGCCGGCGCGGGCGCGGGGGCGGACGCCGCGGGCATCATAAAGCTGTCGGGCACCTTCAAAGCGCGCGCCAAGGACGACCGCTTCAGCTTCCCTTCGGCGCAGCTGGTGGGCTTGCGCCAGGGGGGGGGCGTGGGCGCGAGGGCTGCGGGGACCCCCCCTGACGCTGCCAGCCCTTGCTTGGCGGCGGGGCTGTCTTTCCGCATCTGTACATGGAACAATGGGCCACCCCTCTCTCGGGTCCTCTTGAGACCGGGCAGCCGCGCCCCTGTGCAGCGGCCCCAGTGGGCGCTTGTGGGGCAACGGCCGATGCGCAGCGCCGCCGCTGTAATCGCGCGCTCGCTCTTTCGACTGCCCCCCAGGCCGCACCGCCGCGGGGCGCCGACGAGGACATGCCGCTGCCGCCGCCCCC